TTTGATATCTGTCTCCAAGATTTATCTATTGATGTGAATGGGGTATTAAAATTCTCTACTGTGACTGTATTACTGTCATTCTCTCCTTTTATGTCCATCAAGGCTTGCTTTATATATTTAGGTGCTCCTATGTTGGGTGCATAACTGTTTACAATGGTTATATCTTGGATTGTTTTTTTCATTATTATGTAATGTCCCTTTTTTTGTCTCTCACTATAGTCTTTGCTTTAAAGTCTATTTTGTCAGATTTAAGTATTGCTACTTCTTCCTCTTTTGCATAAAATACCTTATTTTTCTATCAACTTTCGGTGAGTGTGTATTTGTCTTTCATTCTGAGGTGGATCTCTTGTAGACATATATGCATATATACGGATATACATATAATTATAGACTAGAGGCCCAGTGCACAGGGGTGGGACGGTCCCCTCAGCCCAGCCTGCACCCTCTTCAATCGGGCCTAAACCGCCAGTCGGACATCCATCCCTCTCACAATCCTGGACTACTGGCTCCTAATTGCTTACATGCCTGCCTGCCTGGTCGCCCCTAACTGCCCCCCACTGCTTACCTCTTCGACCCCAACTGCCCCCTGCTGCCAGCCAGGTCACCTCTAACTGCCCACCTCCTGCCAGCCTGATCGCCCCCAACTGCCCCCCTGCTAGCCTGGTTGCCCCCAACTGCATCATCCTCCCTGCCCCCCCAGCCTGGTAGCCCCATGCAGCCTGCTGTTCAGACATGTGGTCGCCCCTCATGGCCCCCCCTGCTGACCTAGTCACCCCACTCAGCCTGCTGTTCAGTCATTTGGTCGGCCCTCACTAACCCCCCTGCCGGCCTGGTCGTCCCACGCAGCCTGCTTGTTCAGTCGTTTGGTTGTCCCTCACTAACCCCCCTGCCAGCCTGGTAGGCAGCCATCTTGTGAGGGTGTGAGGGTCAATTTACATATCACCTCTTTATATAGGATAGATACATATCCCATTTAATGATCCTGTGTCTTTTGAATGGAACATTAAGCTATTTACATTTAAAGTGATTATTGGTTGGTACCTTTTTATTGCCATTTTATTGTATCCTCTTCTCCCTTCTTATTCTTCTTTCAGGCCCTTAAACATTTCTTGTAATACTGGTATGGAGGTATCAAACTCCTCCTTTAGCTTTGTCTTGTCTGGGAAGCTCTTTATTTCTCTTTCAATTTTAAACGATAGTCTTGCTGGGTAAATGATAGCCTTGACTGTAGGTCTTTGCCTTTCATCACTTTGAATATTTCTTTTTTTTTAAAAATATATTTTATTGATTTTTTACAGAGAGGAAGGGAGAGAGACAGAGAGTTAGAAACATCGATGAGAGAGAAACATCAATCAGCTGCCTCCTGCACACCTCCTACTGGGGATGTGCCCGCAACCCAGGTACATGCCCTTGACCGGAATCGAACCCGGGACCTTTCAGTCCGCAGGCTGACGCTCTATCCACTGAGCCAAACCGGTTTTGGCTCTTTGAATATTTCTTGCTAATCCCTTCTAGTCTGAACTATTTCTGTTGAGAGAATAGCTGACAGTCTTATGGAAGTTTTCTTGTAGGTAATTAATTGTCTTTCCCTTGTTGCTATAAGATTCTCTCTCTGTCTTTAAGCTTTGTCATTTTAATTATGATTTGTCTTGGTGTAGGCCCTGGGTTCATCTTGTTTAGGATTCTTTGCACTTCCTGCACTTGTGTCCCTTTTTCTTCAACAGATTAGGGAAGTTATTGGTCTTAAAATAGGTTCTCGATTCCTTGTTCTCTCTTTCTTCCTCTCTGTCTCTGTCTTCTTCTTCTTCTGGTACCCCTGTGATGTAGACGTTATATGTCATGTTATCCCAAAGGTTCTATAAATTATCCTCATTTTTAATTTTTTTGTTAATCCTCATCTGAGGATATTTTTTCCATTGCTTTTCAAGGAGAGTGGAGTGGGGGAGAGAGATAGAAAGAAACATTGATGTGAGAGAGACATATCTACTGTCTTCTTCATGTGCCACAACAGGGGGTGGGGAGCGAACCCACAACCAAAGTACAAGCCCTTGGACAGGAATCAAAACTGGGATCCTTTGGTGTGTACAACACTCTAACCACTGAGCACCGTCCAAGGCTGTCCTCATTTTTTAAAATTCTTTATTTTATTGCTGCTCTGAGGTTTTTTTTTTACTTTGCTTTTGAAATTGCTGGTTTGATACTTTGTTTCATCTATTTATTGTTTCTTCCATTATATTCTTCATTTCAGATATTGTACTTATTTCTTATTGGTTTCCTTTTTGGTGTCTTTGTCCTGTTCCATGCTATTGAGCATCATTATAACCATTACTTTGAACTCTACATTTAATAAATTGCATACCTAGATTTTATTTAGTTCTTTTTCTGGAGATTCCTCCTGTTCTGTCATTTGGGGTCTCTTTATTTCCCCATTTTGGCTGTTTCTTTATTTGTTTCTTGTTTTTTGTTTTTTTTTTTTTTTGAGAGAGAGAGATATGGGAGAGAGAGAAACATCGATTTGTTATTCCACTTATTTATGCACTCATTGGTTGATTGTTATATATGCCCTGACTGGGAATTGAACCCGCAGCCTTAGTGTATTGGTGCAATGCTTTAACCAACTGAGTTACCCAGCCAGGACTCTGTTTTTTTCTCTGTATTAGGTAGATCTGCTATGATTTGCAGTCTCTGTAGGGTGGCCTTCTGTAGTAGGTGTCTTGTGGGATCCTGTAGGGTAGTTTCCTTGAGCACCTGAGTTGGGTGCTTCATGAATGTCCCATGTGTGGGTTGTGTGGGCCCCCTTGTTGTAATTGAGTCTTGATTGTTATTGGCCCATTCATGTTTTGGATTAACCCTCAGGCTGGCTGACTGAGGCTCAACCCTAATGAGGGTATAGGAGCTGCTGTGCAGGTGTTTGCCTCAGCAGTTTGTCCTTGCCCAGATTTTCCTTTGGACTTGCAATTTGAGAAGCTTATTGTATCCAGATAGGGTATTGTATGAACGTGGCCATTGGGTGTGTTGTTTCAGGACCTCTTAGGAGGAACTTGGTGCAAATTAATGTCAGATACTGTCTATCACTGGCCTTGGTCAATCTGTTTGGAGCTACAAGTAATCCAAAATTACATTTTGTGGCTACCTCTATTGGGCCTGGGTGCATATGGCAAGCTATGCAGCAAGGCTGGTTTTTACCAGCATTGGTCCTTGGGGCAGCTCAGGAAAAGTCCCAAGGCACTCTGAGATTTGCTTTTGCTTGCTAGCTGCCTGTTAGGCTTAGTCACTGAAATAGCCTCTGGTGGTACTTGAGTTGCACATGATAGGCTCACAGTGCATCACCAGATTAATGCAAGTCTAAACTAGATGCCAGTGTTTAGTGTGAGGCTACTCAGCAAATGTCTGTAGGTATACCATATCTAGCTGTTACCTACTGGGTGCTTATACACCTTGTTTTGGGATGGAGTTACAGAGAGTCATCAGAGTGAGGCCAGCAGAGTTTATGAGGCCCAAACAGAAAATTTGACTATGTTAAGGGAGGGCTCTGCTTTGTTTAAGCTTGTGAGTTGGGAAGATGGGACTAGTGGATCTCCCATGAGGGGACAGTGGTGATCAGGCTTGGGGAAGATAGGAGGTGTGGCCCTGCCCAGAGCCATATAGCTCATTCTGTCCTGATTCTGCCTGGATCTCAGCTGGGCAGAGCCACTAGGTGTGTGTAGGGGTATGCCAGAAGTACAGAGGGGATTGTTCCGGCAATCTCCCTGTTGGGGAAGGGACAGTCAGAGTCATGGGAAAGTAAGGGGAATGGCCCAGTTCCAAAGTCAGACAACTCTGTTACTGACTCCTCACTAGGGGGTTAGCTCTGCAGGGTGGGGAAAGGGGTAGTCCAGAGGACGGGGCTGTTGAATTCCCCCAGGTTGATGCCACTCAGGGGGAGGGGAGGCGCTCCACCAAGAAATATGATTCAGCACAGGGATCCTGGAAGCTCTCCCCCCACCCCCCCCCCCACTCCCGGGGCAGGTGAGCAGCACACCTTCCACACTGCCTCCCCGCGGGCCTCTGCCGGCCCTCTCACCGTTCCCAGCATTCTACAGGGCACCAATCCCAGCGACGTCCACCAGCAGAAATCCTTCTGTGGTCCACAGGCCATCACCATGCGTCAGGCCTCAGCTCTGGCCACAACCTCCCCCACTGCTACAGATGTGGGAACTCCCTCAGTTCCCCGGAAGCTGGCGGCCTCTCACCCTCTGGCCCTCTCTGGCCCTCCACCTGGTTAATCCCACCTTAGCTGTTAGTTATCAGCTTCCCTGACGCCCAGACCGCGTGAGGGGCCCCACCGTGTGCCCCTCAGCCCCGTTATCTCTGTGCCATGGGACAGGGGTTTTCATCAATTTTCTTCACCATCACCCCCCCCCCCCCCCCCCCCCCCCCGAGCAACAAACCCAATTCTCTCATGATGCAATAGTAATTTGCTTCATCCTCCCTCCACAGGAGCCCAGGGTGACTGGCTGCAAACAAGATCTTGTGCATTGGCATTTTAAGAGGCAAAAGTGTCTCTAGCTGACTCTGTTTCTCCCTGGTGGATAGAATCCTCACTTATTTTCACATCCAGATGGGCTGCTCTTTCCAGCTCTGGTGCTGTGGCCTGGGAAGCCTGGCATGATGTTATAGCCCCAGTTTTTCAGGGGGAAGCCCCCTCAGCTGAGATATTTCTCTGGAATTATAGCCACCACCCTTGGGAGTAGGACCATCCATCCCATTGTATATCTCCACCCTTGCTGTCACTCTTGATGTGGTTTCTTCCATAAATCCTTGGTTATAATATTTCAGTTCAGTTGGTTTTTCAGTTGACCAGAAATGGGTCAGAGTAACTGGCACTTACTCTGAAGCCATTTTGGAATCTCCCACATCATTTCATTATTATATACTTGACCTTAAAAGCCTTAAATATATAAATCAATTTTATGCAACTCTAAATTTAGCGCATTAATATTTTTACTTTTCTGTTACAGCATTTTCAGTTAGCGTTGATTGACTGTCATCCCTGTACGTTGTCCAAAGTTGAAAGTAAGTATTTCTAAATACCATAGTTTTATTGTCTTTTTGAGGAATAGACTATGTATAAGACATTTCAAATCATGACCACGAATACCTTTTGTTGGTTTGTAGAAAACAAACCTGAGAGATACAAGACTAACTCACAGACTTTAAGACAATTAGTTGATTTGAATAGTTTGTTTTTTAATAATAATCAATGCGTTACTTGATAACCATAAATAAGTCTAGTTTCTCACAGAACACTAACTCATAGTAGTTGACTCCTTTGTGTTAGATTATTATTAGTAGTTATTGTTATCTAATAGTGTCTGTCTTTTTAAATGGAAAAATTATGTCTTTTTTCTTTCAGTATTTTTTTTCATGGAAGGGAATTGATGGGTTGGGTACCTTGTGCAGTGTTCTTTATTTTGGGTATACAGAATATATATTTATAATGCTGGGAAACTTATAATGAAACAGTATTAAAGCCTTCATACCACAGGCTCAATGAATCAGAATCTTAAAGAGCTAAGCACTGGTAATTTTTTTTTTACTTCCTAGAAAGAAGTTTATCTTTACGTTATTCATTGAGATATATAATAAGAGAGAAGATGTGGGAAAAGAGAAGGAAAGAAGAGAAAAAGTCATTTTGGGATTTATATTAAATGAGAATTTCTGTTTTCTGTGAGAGTCTTTCTAGACAAAACCCATGTAATTAAATATTCTACATATAACTTTATTTTTTTTATTAATCTTCACCCTATGATATTTTCCCCATTTTTATTTATTTATTTAAAAAATATTTTTATTGATTTCAGAGAGGAAGAGAGAGGGAGAGAGACAGAAACATGATGAGAGTGAATCATTGACTTGCTGCCTCCTGCACGCCCCACACTGGGGTTCAAGCCTGCAACCCGGCCAAGTGTCCTTGAGAATCGAACC